TAGAGCCAACTGTCAAGCCACTGTCCCAGATTAGGTTCCCTGCACCTACCTCCAACACACCCTACCACACTGACTTGCCACTTCTGTCATCTTCTCTGCCATTCCCATCCCCTCTGCTAACACTCCTATCCACTTTGCCAAGTCAGCAGTGCCACCTCTCTAACATACCACTTCCAGAGGGCCATGAGGTCCAGGCTATGTCACATATTAAGTATCTCTCTTTCCAAAAAGCATCATCTCGACTGGCACCCTGGGCCAGGTGACCTTTAACACTTTGGCTTCTAAGAGCCCTCTATCTTCCTAAAACTTGCTGGAAAACCTTAAAATTTTTTCATATATGGATGATATCTGCCAATATAATTGTACTGGTGATTTTTTTATTCAAAACTTTGGGAAGATTTATTTATGGATACATTTGAAAACAACAGAAAGCTGATGCTCCATGTAGCTCAATGTAGAGAGCCTGCCTGGCCTGCCTGAAGCCCTGGGTTCAATTCCCAGTACAACTAAATTCATTAATTAACTAATTAATTTAATTAAATAAGAGTGGAGAAGATAACACTTTGAAGGTTGAGCCAGGAAAATAAGGAGTCCAAGGTTACCCTTGGCAACATAAGGAGTTTGAGGCCACCCTGGCCTTGAGAATCTGTTTATATGTGTACTAATATTGGAGAGCTATTTGTGCAAGCAACAGTCCTGGCAGTGACAGGCCAGCAGGTAGAACTAACCTAAATGTGTGCAAATGAATAAATAACATGGTAAAACCATGTACTGGCACATATTCAGTGACTCCAAAAGGAATAAGGTGTTGACATACACTACAATTTGGATGCTAAATGAAAGAAGCCAGACACAGAGAAGTCAAATGTATGATTCTTCTTATACGAAACATCCATAGATGGAAGATAGTTCAACGGCTGTCAGAAAAGTGTAGAAATCGGAGACTGTTCTTTTGGACTGATGAAATGTTTTGAAACCAGAGAGAAGATAATGACCATGTAATGCTATACACATACTAAACACACTACATTGCACACTTTAAACTACTAGGGTGTTTCTGTTGTTCTTTTGTTGTTTGGATTTCTTTTTTTGTCTCTTGGTGTGTATTCCTAGCTGCCTTGATACTATGTAGACCAGCCTGGCCTCAGAACTTTCAGAGTTTGAAAGTACTGCCTCTGCCAAGTGCTGGGATCACAGGCATGCACCACCAGGCCCAGCCTAAAATGATTAATTTGCTTATGATGTGTGACTTTAACCTCAATATCAAAAGAAAATCCTGGGCAGTGAAGCACACCTGAAGTCTCAGACACCAGGGCTGAGACAGAAGGACCACTGGAGCCCGGGAATTCAGGGCTATGTGTACTATGTCTATAAAGCAGCGGTGCTGAGGCTGAGACAATGACTCTGGCCTCTCAGAGTTTGCCTAAGGAGGGGAGCCTTTGCACAGGTGGAAGCCAGGTCCAAACTCCTGTGCTGGACCCACATCTGTAAAGAAGTCTGCACTCCAGCCCTTGGGGATGGAGCTCAGTGGAGAGCCCTTACTAGAAAGGGTAAGTCCCAGGATTCCATGGCTAGCACAAAACCAAATAAAAGCAGGCCCTTAATAGAAACCTAGGGCTCCTGGTAGAAAGGAATCTCTGGCTGTCCCAGGTAAGTCAGACCCCTAGTGGGAATATGCTGATGTGTGCAGAGAACAAGATGGACAGATGCTTTGAATGGGGCTGTGGTAGGTGGCGGGGCCAACCGGAGATGTCAGTGCCTGGCTCAGGAAGTGCCATAGCATGGAATGATGGTGAAATCCTGCCTGGTCCCTGCCGGCCAACCTGATTCCATGAAGGTGCAGTCAGGCCTTTCCTCAGATCTTATCGCAGCATCTGTGATGTCGAATGTTTACCAAGCAATCAGCCCCCATACTCAGACCAAGTGACTCATGACCCAGAAACAGTCCAGGCCACTTCTGAGTACTAGAAGGGGAAGTCAGAGAACTCTGCCCACCCAAGGAGAGTGCTCTCCAGTCTCCAGGACAGTCTGAAAACTGCTTTAATTTGCACAAGGATCTGGGCCCACAACCTGCCTTCAACCCCACTCTAACCACGAGTGTACAGCCTCTAACCACGAGTGTACAGCCTCTGTGCCTGACTTTGTTCCCTGTAGGCCTTCAATACCTCCAAACCTCAGTCACTTGCAACCCACAAGCCTTTTGCTAACTGACTTAGAATAAGCAGTATCCAGGGCTGCCAGGGTTTAATGTTCTGCCCCTGAGTTTGTAAGGATGTCACCCTCCACTTGTCACCAATGAGGGCAAGGTACAGGGGTGCTGTGTGCCCCAGCCTGCAGGGGATTCGACGAGACCCTAGAGAAGGGGGCAAAAGAATGAAGGGACAAGAGACACAAAGAATGAGAGCAAGTCTGGGGTTCTGATCAAGCTCTGAAACTTTAATTTCAGGGCTAGGTTATAAAAACACAGCAAAACGGGAAGTTTAGGCAAGGGTCATTGCTTAGGGCTATCCCACTATTGAATCCTCATTGTCTAAGACCGTCCCACTGTCATAGCCTTATCGTCTAAGAGCATCCCACTGTCAGAACAGGCTCCCAGGAAATGCCAGACGTTCTTTGAGTTCCCGGGACCTGAGATCCATGTACCTTCTTAACCTTGTACTGACTATGCTTTCCAGAACAGCAGGTAATTTCCTGGGTTTGGATCTTGGCAGCTGTGGGTTTCCAGAACCGCCAGCCCACTGTATGGTGTAGGCAAAGCCTCTCAGACTACCACCAGCCAAAGGGTATACAAGAGTCTGTCTCCTCAGGAAGCCCTACAAGTCAGACAGAATTAAACAAGACCGGTGGTGTGAAGTACAGGCAATTAGCTTAGGAATTCAGGAAGAGGGGATTTCCAGTGTGGGTAAGAAGGGTGTGGCTGTGGAGTACAGAGGAGAGTTAAAGTGGCACTGTGTCAAGAACAGGCAGCTGAACTGTGGGACGATGTATGCAGTAATGTTGATCAGTATGATCTGAATAGAGATGTGTCACAGAGGATCCAAAATTTCCAACAAAAGTGAGTGTGTAATGAGAACTTAATGAATGATGGGAGAATTATTACAGGGAGCCCAGCAGAGATGACCACTCAGACACAGTGTATAACCAATTAATGTCTTTATTCCAGCTCTCTGGGACCTCACCCTAGTGTTTGAGGACCTAGGTATGGTCCCGAGTATACAGATCATGAGGTTCTTAAGGCTAGAGGCCTCATGGAGGCTTCTAGCTCGGGAGCTGCAAAGAGGCCTTCATAGAGTAAACAGTTTGAAGCAAACACTTTTAACTGAGGCTAAGATAAGTGATTAGGCTGCTGGGGAGGGGTTCTGAACAAGCAGATAGTTTAGATAAACAGCAGAAGGAGGTTCTGCATACGTGCAGTTTTAACAAAGGCTAAGATAAGTCAGCCAGGACATCCTGACCTTTGGCTCCTAGAATAAAGTTGGGTAATTTTCCATGGAATTCTCCATCAAGAAGATCAGATTCTAGATAAACTTGGAAGCAGGCCTCATCAAGAATACAAGACGGAGGAATCTCTGCACTGTCTTTTTTGTTTTGTTTTGGGTTTTTTTTGTTGTTTTTTGTTTTTTGTTTTTGTTTTTCGAGACAGGGTTTCTCTGTGTAGCCCTGGCTGTCCTGGAACTCACTCTGTAGACCAGGCTGGCCTCAAACTCAGAGATCCACCTGCCTCTGCCTCCCAAGTGCTGGGATTAAAGGTGTGCGCCACCACCACCCGGCTTGCACTGTCTTGCCCCATCACAGAATAAAGGAGGCCCCGAGGAGGGAACTGGAGGCAGATGTGTTCTGAAGTTCTGAACTTCCTCCAGTGCAGATGTGAAACCAGCTGAGACTGCATAGGTTCCTATACAATGAGGCAGAAGGGACTTACAGGAAAGTCTATAGGTTGATGTATGTGATGAAGTCAGGGTTAGAGAGAGAGAGAAGTGAGGCACACCAGTTGCAAAATCTAAGAGAGTTCCCACACAGTAATTAAAACTCATCATATTTTAATGCAGTGGTTTAAGACACAAACTCAAAAAAAAAAAAAAAAAAAGACAGGCTCGCATACCCCAGATTGGCCTTAAACGTCTGATACAACTCCTGCACCTCCCAGTGCTTGGGTTACAAGTGTGTGTCACCGTGCCTGGCTTATGCAATACATGGTGAGTGAAGAACTGTTGAAACAATGTCTCATGTTGCCCAGGCTAACTCAAACTTACCATGTAGCTGAAGTTGGCCTTGATCTCTCCATCTTCTCGCCTTTTCCTAAGTAGGGTGTGGCTGTGGACTACTGCATACAGCACCATATTTGGCTTTTTTTTAAGGAATTATTTATTTATTTTATGTATATGAGTACACCATTGCTTTCTTCAGACACACCAGAAGAGGGCATTGGATCCCATGACAGAGCGTTGTGAGTCTCCATGTGGTTGCTGGGAATTGAGCTCAGGAACTCTGGAAGAGCAATCAGTGCTCTTAACCACTAAGCCATCTCTCCAGCCCCATACCTGGTTCTTTAATGCAAACATTTTCAATCAATTTTGTTTTTGAGACACAGTCTTGCTATGTAGACCAGACTGGCTTTTCTCAGGGTAATCCTTGACCTTCCAGGTGCCAGGATTAGAGATGCACCATCATACCCTGCTAAAAAATAAAAGAAATTTAATGCCAGGTAATCCATACTTAACAATACATCCCATTCTTAGTTTCTATGAATTTACTTGTTCTACTTTGCGTATGAATGTTTTGCCAGCTTGTGTATATGAGCACATCACGTGTGTGCATGTTGAATCTGCTGGAACTGGGGTTAGAAATGGCTGTGAGGGGCACCATGTGAGGGCTGGGAATTAACTACAGGTCCTCTGCAAGAACGACAAGTGCTCTCAACTACTGAACCATCTCTTCAGATCCCATTTTAAAGCAAACACTTTCTGAGGATGCTTTACACGGCGTGACCTTACCTCTTCCTCCAGGCCCAGCTGTGATGGAAGGCCAGCCTCTGGGCTCCTCCACAGGCTACGTTACAGTGACAGCTTTCAGCGCTTGGCCAAGAGATGCTATTATCCTTATTCCTTGCTCTCCCAGGGGACAAACACGGCCTTGTGTAATCAGAAAACATTCTTCTGAGGGCTCTTCTCCGACCCACAGCGATGGGAAATGATCAAAGTGACTAAGCAGGATGCCATCTGATCTAAAATGAAGCTAACGAAAGGCCCAGGTTACTTTACAATCCAACCTACGCCATCATGGTGGCTGAACCTCCTTCCTGCCTGTTAGATGAAAATTAGAGAAGACCTCACACCTCTGTGGACTAAGACCCTGCACTAGTCCCCACTAGCCAAGACCTCCAATCAAAGTACAATCATTCACAAGAAAGCTGAAGAAGCTGAGACTCGGTGGCCCAGCTGACGGGAGAAATAAGCAATAGAGAAGTAACGGCCCCATCTCCCAACAGGCCGGTTTCATTTGCTGTGATATCAAAGTTCCCTCTATCTTAAATTAATCCTCGCATACAGGAAAGTAACTTTTGGGCATAGTGGGAAACACCTGTCATTCCAGATAAGGCATCTAGGCCAGCCTGGGACTTCCTAGGGAGTGGTGCATCAAAACAAAACTACCAAGTCATCTAGTGTTAATTAGTAACTTGCCTATTGTTCTCCCTCCCTGCTCCTACACACCTTGCAAGAAAAGGAACTGACAAAGCTAATCCTCTCTTGTCTAGTCTTTTTGTTTAAGACAGGGTTTTCCTGTGTACCCTTGGCTGTCCCCGAACTCACTCCATAGGCTGGCCTCACACTCACAGAGATCCTCCTACATCTCCCCTCTGAGTATGGGAATAAAAAGTGTGTGCTACCACTGTCCTTCACGTGTGTGTGTGTGTGGGGGGGATGTCCTTGTTCTTGTTGTTTTCCAAATGTTCTCTATCTTTGTTTAGCCAATCAGAATCCCCATTCTATTTAAAGGCAGAGGGTTGCTGGATTGTAAAACTAACAATAAAACCAGCCCCATGATAAGTACAGACTAAAGACCAATTGTTGTTGTTAGTATTCTGTCTAAACTCCACCTCCACAGATACCTGGCAACAGCCAGGTGTGCTCCTCCCCACAGTTACCTGACAACAGCCAGGTAGGCCTGGCCCACTATAAAAGGGGCTGTTTGCCCCCTCCTCTCTCTCTTAATCTCTTGATCTCTTGCCTCTAGCTTCTCTCTGTCCCCTTGCCCCTCCCCGTTCCCTTCCCCCTCTCTACATGTGGTCATGGCCGGCCTCTATTCCTCTACTTCTCTTCTTCCACTTTCTTCTTCTATTTCTCTCCCCCCCCCCCCCCCACCTTTGCCCTATCTCCTGAATAACCCTCCCCCCTTGGAACCGTTTGGTCTGGTGTGGTAGTGATTTAGGAGAATCACTAGTTTAAGACAACCTCAGACTACATGGCAAGACCTTATTAAGAAAGAAGAAAAGGAAGAAAGAAAGAAAGAAAGAGAGAGAGAGAGAGAGAGAGAGAGAGAGAGAGAGAGAGAGAGAGGAAGGAAGGAAGGAAGGAAGGAAGGAAGGAAGGAAGGAAGGAAGG